CATGGATGAAAGGGTTTAGCATATAAGGTTCCAGGAAGAGTTGAAATGTAGATTTTATCTTTCTGCATACCAGAATTTATGATCTTTACTTATTTAGGGGTCAAGTTTATATGCCTCCCCCTCCCATCAAAGTGACTCTGGGCGGTATTCAATAAAACCAAGAATTTAACCATTTTGCAAACCTCTGCAAACAAGAAACCTAGTTAAAAGACAGGAAAGAGATTTGCATACATTTTGATCCGGTTTTTTTTTAGGTCAGATACACACAAACTGTTGTAAAATTGCTGGAATGAACCCAGCTTTTGCCCAGCTGGCATATTTGTACATTCTGACCTTTGCTACATAGAACAACACGTTTCCGAGTCTCAGAGTGTCGAAAGCGCGAATCTTGCTAATCCAGCCATGACATATGGATCTATCCCACACGCTGGATCCCCTCATCCAGAGCTGGATGGTCCGTGCAGCTTCCCCCATTCTTCAGCCTCTTCAGGCAGGAACGCGGAGCAAGTTTCCCGCACTTAGATGCGTAAATCCGATCCCAGATTCTTAAGCAAAGCGGATCCCAAAGCGATCTCTGCGGACCAGCTACAAAGAGCTCGGCGGTTCCCCTCTACTTACGGCGGCAGGGTAAACTCCAGGCAGCAACGGCTGCAGATTGAAGAGTAAAGTGATCGGGACGTGAATGAGGAAGTAGAACGCGAAGATCCACTCGAGGACGCGCGGCGCAGCCATCGCCTCTTCGGAGGATCAGTCGAGCTGGCAAGAGCGGAAGGAGGGATCGCCTTGCTCTGCACCCATTGGCTCTCCCTGAAGTGGAAGGGGCCTCCTGGCCAGATGGCCACGCCCACTTCACCAGGCTTGTCCTTTTTGGCAGTGGGAGTGGTCTGCACGCCCCAATTTCGCCGCTCGGGCACTTAGTAGATCCATCTGGACCATTTCCCACGTTCCGCCGGATTTTCTTTTGGACATCAGTCAACATTAGATGGGGAGCCTCGCAGTCTCTCTTAAATCAACCGTAGTTGCAACAGCCCACTGTAACAACATTCTCAAAAGACAGAGGTCTTCAAACTTGGGCACTTTAAGACTTGTGGACTCTAACTCTCAGAATTCTCCAGCTCTGCTGGTTGGAGAATTCTGCTGGCTGGAGAATTCTGGCAGTTGAAGTCCACAAGTCTTAAAGTTGCCAAGTTTGGGGACCCCTGCATTAAGAGTTGTTAACCTAATCTTGCCTAGCTTCTTCTCTGGTAATATGGTACTGCTAACTAGAGCACCCAAAACATTTGCTAGACCAATTCTCAAATACAGTTCATTGGTGTGAAACCCGCACTGCATATGGAACTTTAGTACAATTAAGCAAGTCCAGAGATATTTTCACAAGAACAGTGCTTGTCTCCTCTGCTTGCAAGAGAATATCTTATGCTACCAGGCATGAAATGTTGGACTTGCGCAACTTAGAACTACGCCGCCTTTGGTCTGACCTAAGGGTAGTACATACAATTATCTGCAGTGTCTTACCTCTCCTACCCGTCAATGACTACTTCAGCTTCAACCTCAATAACACACGGGCAAACAATAGATACAAACTCAAGGTAAACCGTTCCAAACTCAACTGCAGAAAATACGACTTCAGCAACAGAGTGGTCAATGCCTCTGGAATGCACTACCTGACTCTGTTGTTACATCCTTAAATCCCCAAAACTTTAACCTTAGACTGTCCACTGTTGACTCACCGCAATCCTAAGAGGTCTGTAAAGGGGTCTTGCATACCGTCAATGTGCCTACCGTCCCTGTCTTACTGTGCCTACTTATTTGTATCCATTTCCTGTATTCATAATTATGTTTATACTTATGTCTGTTATCTTATACATGGTTGACAAAATAAATAAAATTAAAAAATAAGTTAAATTAAGATTGCTGGGTATGTAGGGATGCTTGCCCAAAATTTAACCATGCCTTGCATACCCTGAATAACCTGCATAAGTTGCATCCATACAATTGTGTAGATCAGGGAGTACAATCTTGGCAACTTTTAAGATTTGTGGACTTCAACTCCCAGACTTCCCCAGCCAGCTATGCTATGGCTTCTGGCAATTGAAGTCCACAAATCTTAAAAGTTGCCAAGATTGTACTCCCTGATCTACACAATTGTATGGATGCAACTTATGCAGGTTATTCAGGGTATGCAAGGCATGGTTAAATTTTGGG